TAATAACTGACGGCCTCTATGTAAACGGGGCAAGGCGATAAGACAATATGTCTTTTTCTCGCTCCGGCCATTTTTATATATGTAAACAATTTTTTCTCATTGTAAATAGTATTATACGGCAAATTAAATAAATTAAAAAAAAAAATCAGAATATAAAAAAAATTTAAAAAATTGGTTATTAAAGTACCCCTAAAAGTTATTATGAGTTGTTTTTGTTCAATAAGAATGCTTTGCAAAATGTTTCGGTAACTAGAGCCTGGGAACAAAACTACAGCAAAAATGCACCGCGCATAGCCAGAATGCGAGGGCAATGAGATATTAAAATAGATTTTAATAGTTTTTGCGCTGCACAGAAGTGGCAGTGCAAAAACAGTGAAAAAAAAAAACAACCTCAAAACTAAAAATTACCCGACTCAATTGTGTCAAGTACCCGACTATATTCCTCAAAAAATTAACTATAACTTGAAAATCGTCTTCTTCGGTCAAGGGGAGGGGTTATTCCCTCGCTCCCCTCCTTACACACAAACATACACCGCAGAATTGCCTCTGGATCCGCTAGCAGAAAAGTAACACTTTTACAAGGACCTTGGATGAATAAAAATCAACTATTAAAAACTCATCGGCATCAGTTTCATTTTCTGAAATTAACGAATTCTTCAAAAATTTTCTGAAATTAATGAATTCTTTGATAATTTGAAAAGTACATTGGAGAATGAAGAAGAAAATTTATTTTTATAATACTTTTAACAATGATAAAAACAGTTTGCCAGGTTGTGCTAATACCCAACGATTTATTTTTAAAAGAGGGGTAAAAGGGGCGAGAGAAGTAAATTCTCCTGAACGTTAGTGATCGATCGGCACTAAAATTTTGCGGGAACCGGAACCGAACCGAAAATAGATTTTAAATATTCCTAACCGAAACCGGAACCGAAAATAAACCCTAGTCAGAGCCGAAACCGCAACCGGAACCGAAAATAAATAAAAGTTTTTGTTTGCAAATTTATTCCAATTAAAACACAAAGTTAAATTAATAAAAAATGATTAATAACAGAATCCAACAACAGCAAGATTTTGTCGACAAAAAAAAAGGTTTGTCCAAATATTCTGGAAGGAGTCTGTTTCTTTCGTAAGATAGAATATCTCCAGCCGTAGAAAACAATCTTTCAACATCTGTGGATGTTGGGGGTGGTGTGAGGTACTTTTTTGCCACGTTAGTCAATGCTAACTTGATTTTGCAAGTCGCATTTTTTTCATAGTTTTTCCAAAATTCTAGGCAATGAGAAGCCATTGGACAATCCAAAAAATCCTTCAACACTTCCATCGTCATTTTGGAAAATGAATGTTCATTTGGTCCTGTTTGAGACTGTGCAATAATTTTTGACATTATGTGCGAGAAAGCCGTGTTTTTTTCATTGACACCAGATGGAATTTGAGTAACAGGAGCCAATTCATTTTCAAGAGGTTCAAAATTCTCCATTTGAGACATGACAATGTGTTTGGCATTTTGCAAAGCAGCTTGAGATCGGAAAAAATACCATTTGTATTTTGAATTAAGTAAAGTAGCAACTGAATAATGTTCTGTTTTTTCAATTGCTAAAAAACGTTTTTCCATTGCATTTTTCATAGCTATTTTCAATTTCTTAACACTGACGTCGCCGGAGATTGTTTCCAAAGCTTTAATTATTGTTGTCACAATTGGAATGCAGGAACTGATACAAGAATCACTACCTGACAACATTTTTGTTGCCTCCTCAAAAATACTTAAAATCCTCACCACTTTTTCATAGAGGCTTCAATCTTAGACAGAAAATTCAATTCCCACTGAAGGAAATTTGAGTAAGGTTGCAGCAATGGCTGGTTTCAGGTGTAAAATTCGCTCAAGCATGTAATAGGTAGAGTTGCATCTTGTGGAAACATCGTTTTTTAAGCCAAGTCTGTCTTTTCTATCCATTTGAATTTCTTGCTGTCTTTAAAGTTCAGTGTAGAAACCAGTAGAATGGGATGCATAAGAACAAAGTTTTCGACTCTTTTCAATCAGTTCGTTGATGGTAGGATCTGAAAATAGTTCTTTTTTTACCATAAGTTGAAGGGAGTGGTTAAGGCATCCAGCTTACTTATAATTACAGTTTGGCTCATTTGAAGGCTGCTTTTACATTTGCTGCATTGTATTTTAAGCAAACTCAAACGTTTGAAGAAATTTTCCACTCCTCTGCTGCTGCTTTGATCTCTTCGAAAATGTTTTTTGCAGTATGACTTTCAACAAATGGAGAACAAGAGATGCAGAATTTGACACGGTTCTAGTCTTTGGAAATAAAGTGAACAGTCATTCCCAGATAGCCATGATGAAATGATGACCATGCATCAAAGCAGACAGACACATTTTCAGCTTCTGATTGAACCAGCTTTTCCTTGAGAGCAACTTTAATTTTTTCATAAGTCGGATCCAGTAAACTTCTGTAGTATTTTTCGCTAACAATTTCGTAATTTGGAGCAAAAAGAGCATGGCAACTCAAAAACCCAGCATCATTGACAATAGACCTGGTTACATCTGGTAAACATCTGGTTGGAGGTCAAGAATCATCATTTCAAAAATTGATTTGTGAAATTTTTGGCCTTTTTCAGAATTAGATTCAATTTTTGAAGAAGCTTGAACCCAGTTTGGAATTGTAGATTGTAACATGTCGGTTCTTTTTTTTTGATCCTATCTTGAAGATTATAACTGTCTTTCTTTTGTTGAAATTTAAGTCAGTTTCTTCATTTGCCTTTGGATTTTCTGCTTTTACGGGCGTAAGTTTGATGTCAGGATGATGATTCTTCAGGTGTGACGTGAGTCCACTTAATCCTTGTTTTTTTTGGGTCGTCAGATCCTCTTGAAACTTTGCTGTTGCAGATTTTGCACTGAAACATTCTTGGATTGTTTGCTTCAATTATGAAGTATTTTCACACTAAACTTGTTTTTCGGTTTGAATTCATCTTATTAGAATGAAATCGAAGAACTTATTCAGATGAGTTTTTTAATGTTGCTAGTTTGAGTCAAGAACAAGGATTAAAAATATATTTAACAAGTTCTTTGTTAATTATATTAATTATTAATTATACTAATTTGTATTAATATTGTTGTTAACTTAACAATATATATATATATATATATATATATATATATATATATATATATATATATATATATATATATATATATATATATATATATATATATATATATATATATATATATATATATATATATATATATATATATATATATATATATACATATAAATATTTTTTAAGAAAAATTTCTTACGTTACTTTAAAAAGTTCAATACATTAAAAAGTTCGTTAAAAAGACAATTAACAATTTAAACGAGAAAACATTAAAAAAGTTATAATGACAAGAAAACATTATTGTTTTAATGTTTTAACGACGAGAAAACATTAAAACAACTTGCTTTAAAAAAATGAATGAAACCAATAAAAACTTCTTAATTTATTTCAAACAAATTCCACGTGATATTTTAAAAAAAAATCACCAAGTTCGTAAAAATTTTACCTTTACCAGTTCCAAGTGATAATTAAAATAAATAAATAATCAAATCCATAAACATACGACTGTACAATGTAGATAACAATGTAGCGTCATTAATTAAGTTAAAACATCTGTTATAGTGTGTAAACTTATCCGATATATTTCTTTATAATATTATAAAGAAATATATCGGATAAGTTTACACACTATAACAGATGTTTTAACTTAATTATATAATAACTTATCTAAGATGTTAACTTTTAAAAATTGTAGCGTCATTAAATTTGTAGATCATGATATTTTAAACATGATAATTAAAAACCAGACAAAAGAAACAACGCGAATGAGACGCAAAAAATAATATAAGAAGTTGAAATAACCAGCAAAAAAATAAATTAAATTTTTCAAATCAAAATATATTTACGCTACAATGCTAAATAATTTATTTAAAATAAAGTTTTATAATATCTATTTTCGGTAGCATTTTGAACCAAAATTCGAAATCTCAAATCTAGCCGGAACCGAAACTAGAATTTCGATTCCGGCCAAATTTATGACCGGAACCGGAACCGAACTGAATTTAGGTCGATCACTACTGAACGTAGTATGAATATTATGTGAATTATGTTATGAGTTTAAGCCTCTGGTCAAATAGTCCTTTTGAATGAAACTTTTTAGGGAAAACATGCACGGAAAGTCGACCACCTAAAATACGATAGAATCAAAGTATGTTAGAATGATTTAATTCTTTTCTGATTTATTTGAGACTACTTTGTTAGATTTGAAAAAGAATCTTCAGGAAATAAATTTCTTATTCGGGATAATCTAAGCAGTCTGAACACTTAGCAACACTTAGCAGGATCTTTTTGCCTATCAAGATTTGCCTTGAGATGGAAACTAGTTATCTGAAACTTCCATCCAAATTAAATTTTTTTTGAAAATAAATCATAGAAATAAAGTTTTAAAAGAAGACGAATTATTTTTACTTTGTAGGATATAACTAGTTTCATTTCAAAACAGCATTTAGTAACTAAATCACACAAAGGCAAACAAACATTAACTGAAATACTACTATTAACATATCTCTTAACTCTTAATTATTTAGATTTGTAGTCTCTAAGTTGTCTCCTACATGAATTAAAAACGTTCGAAAAAGTGTTAAAAACAGTTAAAAAACAATTACTTTCTTTAAAACTTCTTAGAGTTTCAATGCATTTCAGATATTCAATTGGGGAACGGAGTGTCATTTCGTCCAAAAATGTTAAAATCTTGACACAGTTGGGTACATCAAATTCATGAGTAAAATTAATTTTTAATTTTACTATTATTAAGTTTTTTTTTAATAAAATCTCTTCAGTTTCTTCTTAGGTGAATTCCTGTTTTAGTAGGAGTGCAACACTTGGTGAATCGGTTTAAGTGAATGTACCGACGTTTGAGTTTTTAAGAGCGATTTAACAAATATGAAAACTACGTTATTTACGTTTATTTCGTATAAAAATCACAATAAATTATTTTTATTATTAACATATAGAATTTGAACATTTTTTTAAAATTATTTTTCTTTAAAAACACTTTATAAACAGTTTTTATAAATACCATCACTCCAATCGTTTCGTAATACTGTTAATAATTACACGACACGACCATGTTGAGAACCAATTAAGTTATTTAGATGAAAAAACAAACTCCCTTCATAAGGAATTCTAAAATTGAATTTTTATACAATTTATTATTTGAATTATCTTAGATAATCGATCATAATTGAGAATATTCAGTGTTAAAAAAAACACACACACAAAAAAAACATGTTATCAAGAAAAAATAAAATGTAAACTAACATATTTTGCAGAAATTTATTAAGATCTTTTTCTGAAGAACTTGAATCCAAACTGCTTGATTTATTAGATAGTTCAAAATACTCTTTTAATATTGTATTATCTTTTGGATGAAACAAAAAAATTCGTGCGGAATTCTAAAAAAAAAAATTGTAAACTTTATAAATAAAATATAGGGGAGAGTGCTACTAAATGGACATAGTACTGAAGTGCTACTATATGGGTCTAGTATCTGAATGGGCCATTTGAAAAATAAGAACTTAGCGAGCGGTTATTAACATTTTTTTCATTTAATATAATTTTTTTATACTTAAAGCCCCTTTAGTATTTTTGGGTTAACTTTATTTGTAATAATGCATTAATATTTGCATTTTTCAAGACAAAATTAATTTTTTATCTTTTCAATTTATTTCAATTTACAATATATTTTTAAAGTCAAGTTAATTATTATTAATATGTTATAGATATATATTTTTTACTTCGTATAACAGTAGAATGAAATTTGTATTATATACTGATTGCTGTAACATATATGGGTAACATGCGCCTTTTGATTTATATGCTGGATGATTCACCATTTGTTGTAATGAGTGGAACGGTATATTTTTATACTCAAGTATTTACCGCTCTACAGTATGTTACTTATTAAAATAAAAAACAAGTTTTTTGTATCTAAACTAAAGATCGAAGTGTGACTTATGAAATATACCAAAATAACTAATAAACTTTAGTTATCGAAGACTTAAGCACACTGTTTATTTACATACTTAGGTAATATTCTTTATTTTATAGTTTATTTCATATTTCAATAAATTGATATATCGTAATACTACTACGATTTATTAAATAATTGAAGTTGTTATAACTAATAATAACATATACTTAGATTTACCATTTATTATATATAACAGAATGTTGTTTGTACGTTGTTGAAGATGTTTTGTCGATTAAGATTTAAATAATTTTCAATTAAATCATAATTGTTTCTTCTCCTTTATGTAAGTTTCTTGGTGTTGTTTATGTAAGTTTCTTGGTGCTTTTTATGTAAGTTTGTGGGTGTTGTTTATGTAAGTTTCTTGGTGTTGTTTATGTAAGTTTCTTAGTGTTGGATAATGTTGAAGTAAAGTTATTTAAAAAACTTGAGTGTCAAACTATCAAAAACTTAAAAAACATTGAGAAACCTAAACATTACGAGTGTTCTCAGATTAAATGCAATATTTAGGTTTCTTGTCATAAAAATAGTATATTAAATGATCAGTAGTTTCTACGATAAAGGGTCATCTGTAAAGTACGTACACTTTCATCTCGACCCCCCACCTAATCGTCCATAAAGTAACAAACGTATTTTATGGACGATCCCTATATAAAATAAAGTATATAAGTATATATAATATACATCTAAAAAATCCAAGAGTAAAATATTGAAATATATAAAATAGCACAAATAAACTTATTTTTATAATATGGCCATACTCAAGTTTTATTTATTTCAGAAGCATTATAAGACGTAAAGCAACAACAAAAAAACAAAAGGTGATTGGTTTAAATTTATAAATTCTTAATAATATGGTCCAACTAGTTAAAAATGTTTTGACAAAAACTTTATCTAAAAAAAAACTGTTGAGTTATTTAAAGTCAAACGCTCTATTTTTAGGAAACGAATTAAAGTAAATCATTTGAAGTCAAACGCTCAACTTTTAAGAGGTGAGTTAAAGTAGCTCATATGAAGTTCAACTCGTAAGAGGCAAATTAAAGAAGGTCGACTATCACTAGATGGATTAAATAAATTGGAATGTATTCCATGTAGTAACAGTTTTGTGAAAGTTTTTTCAGTGTCAGAAGAACAAGAGCTAGTTTAATATTGTTTAGAAATTTCCACATTTCTGTCCAGGTTCTGTTAAACCTTGAAAAACAAATAAACATGCTGGTCTAGATTGGTTTAGAGCATTTTAAAGCCATCATCCAGAATTCTTTACAAGAAAACCAGAGGCGAGATCCATTGGTCGAATATCAGCATTCAACAAACATAATATAGATTTTTTAATAATCTTCTTGATCAAATACAAGTTTTCACCGAAAGATAAATGGAACGCCGCGTTACAAGTGCTGAGCGAGGTATCTTGATAACGAGGTATCTTGATAACAATGCAGTAAATGCAAGTAGATCATCAATAACACCATTTTACATATGTACGCGTGTACATATGTAAAATGGTATACTGCTAGTACATTCAGTGCAAGAGCAGTAAATGGACTACTAAACAGTTTTGTGACAGTCACATTTGTCACACATTCTAACTATGCTTTGTTTAGGCAATGGCTTACAACTTTCATTTTTTTTTATATAAAAATAGCATAGAAAAGCTTTTTGACAATTACCAAGACTTTGTTTTTCAAAAGCATTTTTGAAATAATTTTATTTTTTTGTTTTTGCTTATTAAACTCTACACAAATTATTAAAAAAGTTGTTGTTTTGAGAGATGACGTTTAGTGCATGTTTATTTTATTTTAAAATTTATTTATTTTATAGGGTCTTCCGGCTTAGTATGCGTACTTATGATGCATTTTTTTAACTTCGATAAGCCATACCTTTGCAATAAAATGAAATAAAGACATAAAGTTTAGCAGAAATAACATTTATTACATACAAATTATCAATTGCAACAAAATCAGCAAAAATATTTTCACTCTCTTTATTACTGTTTTTTGGCTTCAGATATTCAACCACACTTTCTAATATCTAAAAACCAGTGCTGTTATTTTCTTTCTTTTTCTTTGCTTTCTTTGTATTTCTCTGTTCTTTTTCTTGTCTTTCTTTTCAATAACATCTTTTGCAGTTAAGTCCTTCCCAGTCTTTGCTTAAATACATTTTCTTCTTTTTTCAGAGTTTATTATTGCTGCTCTTGTTTCTTCTGAGGGAGTCTATTTTACTGTTAGTCTTGTTTCTTCTGAGGAAAATGGTGTTGTTGTATTTACCACTGCATCCCTCATCGACTTTCTTGGCAAATTCAGATTTGGTGGTGTGTAGACCCACCTACAACTCTAGATCGAACTCTTTGGCTATCAATTAGATGCTGCTTATTTCCAGCATTTTTTTCCCATTTTGCAACAAGTAGTTTTTTAGAGATAGGATTTTGTTGCTACTTCATTGCAATTATGGTGTGTGTGTTTATATATATATATATATATATATATATATATATATATATATATATATATATATATATATATATATATATATATATATATATATATATATATATAAATATATATATATATATATATATATATATATATATATATATATATATATATATATATATATATATATATATATATATATATATATATGTATATATATACATATATATATATATATATATATGTATATATATATATATATATATATATATATATATATATATATATATATATATATATATATAAACACAAGCATACACTGAATTTCACTGGTTATAAGTGCATTACACTATTCTGATGCAATTATGTTAAATATGTATACTTACATTTTTATCCAAACTTTCTTCTCCTAAAATAATTAATAATTAACTTTATATAAACAATTCTCATTACAAACAATAATAATATAATTAAAATAATATTGATTTTAATAATAAACAATTCTTAATTGAACAAAAATATAAACTTAATTAAAAATTTCTTAAAAAATATAGTCTAAAATTAATAAATTATTATTATAACATAAAAAAAAAAAAAAAAATTAAAACTAACTTGTAACAGTGATAATATGATCCCTAGAAAAAGCCACAAGGTTACTTGATTGCTTTTTATTGTAAAACTCCAGTTGGCATACTATAGAAGCAGTCATTAAATCATGTAAGATCACTTCACCAGAAGCCCAAGTTACAGCTAGCTGAGGTAAAAATAACAGCTTTAAAATAAATAATAAAGTATAAATATGTTTTTTTTAAAATGCAAAAAGAAAATTTACCAGATTTTTTGGTCCTGTTAAAATACTTCCATTGAAATCTTGTTCTGCAAACTCACTGCTTCTAAAAAGTTATATAACATATAAACTTTAGTGTGTATTTAAATTTCTAATTCAGATAAGAACTCTTTTTAATAATGTAGCTATATATGTTTTACTTACACAATTTAAAATTTTAAATCAAACTTATTGGAAGCAGAATCTGGCATAAAATTAGACCATGACTATCACCATGACAATCAGACCATGACTATCACCATGACAATCAGACCACAATTAGTGATAAAACGTAATGAGAAAAAGTAAAGAAACTAGAAAGAAATTTAAAAGCTACTTTTTTTTAAGCACTTTATTCAATGCTTGAAAAACATGATTACATAAATTTAAAATATTTTGAAATTCTTTACTAAAATAACTTCAGCTTGTATAATTAATTGTTAACGTTAAAATAAATGCTTTTAAAGGTTTTTTTTTATATGAATTATAATAAATCTTAAAAAAAAAAAATATATATATTAGTATAATTAGTAACTATAAATATAATTAGCAACTATGAATATAATTAGTAACTTGAAACAAAATAACAAAAAACAAGTTGTTTAAGTTCTTTCTAAAAGTTACACTAATCACCAATTATATACATTTAAAAAAATCTTCAAGATTTTTGTTAGTAGTCTGCAAATCTTTTATACTTTAGGATGGCAAAGTCCTTTACCCTTATCTTTAATCCTTTACTTTAGGATGGCAAAGTCCTTTATCCTTATCTTTAATCCTTTACTTTAGGATGCCAATATCCTTATATCTTAACTGGCTACTCTTGACAATAACGTGTTTAATAAAGTTTACAAAAACATGCCTTTTTTGTATATACAAGATACCTCTCAAGTTATTCCCATTTTCTTAAGTCTCCTTAGGCTAAAAATAATTATAAAAAAAAATTTATGGTCAAAACATGTGTAAATTTTGAAAAAACTCTTTATTTTCAAAATTTATTTTCAAAAATTTGAAATATTTTTGAAAATAAATTTCCTTTACATCAATATTTGATTAATTCGAATGGATAGATTTTTCCCATTTTATAATATGCTTTTTAGAACCTAGAACCTAGGAATTTTCAATAAACCTATTGAAAATTCTTTGGTTCTAGGTGTATAATTTTATTTTTAGTGTGATACATGCTGATTTTTTTTATAAGCAGAAGAGATATGAAATTTATGAAACAGATTTGGGTATGCATATGCAAAAAAATTTTAAGAGGTTCAAAAAATTGCTCAAACTTGCAAAAACATTCTGTATGCTTGCTTGTAATTCATGTAAGAAAAAAATTTTTTTTTTCTGTACTTATACATACATATTTTTGTTTTGCAGCACAATACCTTGACTAAATGGTTTTCATGTATAAAATAAATACCCTCAAATATTAATGTATTAATAGATTTGTGCTCAAAAAGTAAAAAAAGGTTTTTAAGCTGTTCTTATATAATTAATAATATTTATTATGGTTTATGGCATATGCTCCATACATACTGAACATGAAGACAACTGAGATAGTAGCCCAAGTAATGAATAAGGAAAAGAAAATGGTAAAAATGTAAGAATTCATTATTTTTATATGCTATGGGCCCTGATTTAATTCCTATAAAACGGACAAGTCAGTTTCAAAGAACTTGGCTGCTTTTAAATCATTTTCTAAAATTCGCTGCAGCTCATATAGTAAAAAACTAATTAGGAGTGACATCAATAGTTATTTTTATTTTTTCTCTTTTATTTTTATTTTGCATTCAAATAATTGTTAAAAATTTAACTTTAAGCAAAGCTAAAAATAATTTTTTTTTATAAAACTTAACTTACACATGTACTTTTTTGTCAAAATTATTTTGTTAACTATTGTGCTAATTTTGCTGCATAATTTTTCAATTGTTTTTAGAACAGTTAGGCCATTGTTTAAGAAATTATTATTTTTCCCTCACCTGCTTTGATGATTTTAATTTAATAATTATCTTTTATTTTATAGTATATGAACTTAAATTTATAACCTCAAAAGGTTTTTTTTATTCATACTTTCTCATACTCTCATATTTAGCCATGTGAGTTTTCTGTATATGTCTGTGTATATATGTATGTGTGTATATATATATATATATATATATATATATATATATATATATATATATATATATATATATATATATATATATATATACACATGAATAAATATTTTTGAAGTGGATTGATAATAAAGTTGATTAAAACAAAATTGTTCAAATCATTTCTTTTTAATGATGGCACCTAATTCAAGATTCTAGCAGATTAACTTAAATTCAACATTACTTTTAATGGATTTTCAAGAAAACAATACACCCATTTACTTAATATTAAAAAAAAACAACCCCAAAACTCTGATAAAATTGATAAAAAAAAAAAAAACGTTTACCTATCCTCAACACAGACAGGATTTTGTTTATAATCATTAATTTGCCATATTTGGTTATTTTGTAAAATATAATATAACTGATTATGTAAAGTAAACATCATTTTTGAAACAGAGTGATGTACCGATAAAAATCTGATCAATTCTCCTAAAATAATCAAATGTAATAATACAAAATGATAAAAACATATTTTGATAAAAATAGATAAAATGCACTATAAAGTATAACTCATGTATATTTTATAAATATTCTAAAATACTTTTAAAAAATACAATAATAAAAAAAAAAACATAAAAACATTGCATTTTTATTATTAAATACATAAAAGTTTTTCTGCTGCTTTTAATTCTTTGTTTTCTTAAAAAAAAAAAAAATGACTATAGTAAAGCTGCAAAGATAGTGTGACCTGCTGGAGAATATATACTAATTGCAAAGATAGTGTGACCTGCTGGAGAATATATACTAGCTGCAAAGATAGTGTGACCTGCTGGAGAATATATACTAGGTGTAAGGAAAGTGTGACCTATCTGGAGAATATATGCTAGCTGTAAGGATAGTGTGACCTTGGATAATATATTAGATAACATTTTGATAATAAGTTGCTGTAGTTTAAATAGAAAAAATAAATTTAAAAACAAACTCTAAATCCAATGTGGATATCAACATACTATTTGCTTAACTACTGTATAAATTTTTAAATTATTTCTAATATATTTTCCACTTATATCTATTGTAATTTTTATTATTCCACTTAAATCTATTGTAAAAATAAATGTATAAAAAAATGAACTAATATTATCAACCTTTATAACGATTCCAAATACATATTGTTCTGTTCATGAGTCCAATAGCAATAAGATCAGTTTGTGCATTTACTGAAGTAACTAAAATGTTGTCTCCTTGAGGAAGTGAAAATACAGGATCTGTTTCTGTGCTCAGGGCTGTAAAAGCACAATTTAATATCACACAAAAATGAAATAAATAAAAAAAGAAAAACAAAATGCAGGGATTAAAAAGCAAAACAAAACAATATATAAATATTTTTTCTCACCATTTTTTTTAATATCATAAAAAAGAAGTAAATTACTGTTCTTCCACCATAGCAATATAGAATCACAATCTAAAAAAATATAGAATCACAATCTAAAAAATGTAATGAAAAAATAGTATTGAGCCACAAAATATTGAAGAATATAGAGTACTGAGCTCTGGAAGTTTTAAAAATTCATTTACTACTAAATATTAGGACTATACAACACAAACAAAAAGTACACAAAAGTACAGCACTTATGGTACACAGATTAATCGGAAACAACACAGCACAAATTTTTTAAAAATGATTTTACAACTCTTTTCCAGACCTCAACTCTCTCCCAACCCTCATAATATGAAACTTTACAAAAAAAGATGCTACACAAAGAAACAAGTTAGGTAAGAATAAGTGAGGTTTGAACTTTATCTTTCTATACAAGCTCCTCCCTACAGCATTTTCTAAATTAGTTTTATGTGGGGATGGCCAAAAATTGGTAACTAGCCATAAAAGTAGCTTTACTTTTTGCGTATGGTAAACATAATTATTGTGCTTCACAATTGTCCAGTTATTGGTCTACTATCAAGTTGAGCGTACATGAAATTTCTTACATAAAATAATTTATGGCTCAATTGAACAACTAAAAATTGAGCTTTTTTAATATAAGTAATTTCAGCTGTTTTGTTTGATATAAATTTAAAAGTACAAAATCTAAATATGTAGCTGCATATTTTTCAACTTAAAAAAAATCTACACATCTTCGATTAAAATTATCTTTAAATCTGATTGGATTATTAATTGTAAAATTATTTGATTCTTTTTTAAAGTTAACAAAACAATTATATAACTATATTTTACATTTTGTATATAATTGAACAAACTGTATATCATTCTCCTCTCAAAATTTTTGTAAAACTATGTATTAGCTCTAATAAATCAATTAGTCAATGATTGTTCCCAGCTGAGCAGAAAGATTATTTCTATGTTTAAATAAGTTGATAACTTATTCTCTATTATAAATACAATATGAAGACAATAATTTTTTTCAGTTGATAACTTATTCTTCTTTAACAATAAAATTTAATATATGACAAAAACAAGGTATTTATAATTTATTCATTAGATCTTCTAGACTGTGTTTAATATTCACAGCAATATCACTACTCATTAAAAGTGTTTTATCATTTATTTTCCATTCATTTAGAATTAATTCGATTTGCTACTTTAAAAATAGGCTGAATGAATTTTTAGGCGTTGAATGAACGTTTTAGTACAATGAGAATCAATTTCAAACAAAAATTTTATTCTACAAAATGTAAAAAGTCACCTGTGTTAAATGCAAGGTTTGTGATGTCCATCTATGTTGTTAGAAGTAAAATTTTATACGAAAATTTTCTTCTATTTAGCAATTTGTACTTGTTATCAAACAAATCTGGCATTTTATTAAAATGCTCAACAATCAATGGTTTACCTGTTTAAAAAACAAAGTTACACATAAATTCCTCTAAGCCTATATATTTCTGCGGACTTGAACAAGAATTTCCAAGTGCAGCTTTAAAAATACATAACCAATTTTAGCTCTTTGTTGCAATTTTTTTTTGTTAATGTAACTTTATATTTCTATGTGGTTATTGTAGAATCATTGTTTTTTATAAAATAAATCCGAACTTTATATTTATGAAACTTTCTATTCAACATTTTTTTGACCATAAAAGAGAATAAAAATAAATAAAATTAATTTTTAACAAAAGAGAACAATGAAAATAAATGTTATTGTTCTCTCTTGTTTCATCTCTCTCTTAAGTTCAGTTCGCTTTTAACTGAGTTCACACAAGAATTTCTTTCTAAGGAAATAATGTTGGAGGAGATTTATTTGTGTACTAATCAATAAGATTTATAGTCAAGGGGGAACTATATTGATCATTTATGTCTAAAAGAAGTTAAAGAAATTGTTAATAATGTCCATTGCATAATATATTGAAATTAGTTAAATATACTTTTAGAATTTCAATTGAATTTAAAAGAAAGAATTTTAAAAATTTTAAAATTTTCTTCATGTTATTTTTCATAATAAAGCAAAATTAAAAAAAATCAGAAAACAAAAACATTAGCAAAAGAGTTAAGTTTATGAGATACAGCAAATTCAATGTTCAAATACTTTGAATGAATTATAAAAACAGCTATAAATTATATTCTTACACATGGCTCAAACTTTATAAATAATTTATAAGAGAAACTATTTATAAAGATACTTTTTTACAAATTGACATCATAGCAGAATTAAAGATAAATTAAGTGAAAAATAGAAATAAAGATGTTACGATGATTACAAAATTAAATTTTAGTAGATTATTAGAAAACCAATAGAAAAGCAATAGATTAAATTGACTATTCGATTTTTTTTCAACTTTCAATTTAATTCAAAGTTAAGCAATTTCAATTTTTGACTAGCCAAATATTTGTTAGTTTAAAAAACTATCTATTATTTAAAAAATTATATATTACATAATTAATTTAATGAATTAAATATTTAATCTTTTTATTGTTACAGTGAGATTATAATATGGTTTAGACCATGTTATGGTCACACTCAAACCTTTAACTCATTCTACTTTTTCATCAGATTTACCTTGTCATCATATTTCTTATGTCATCATATTTCTTATGTCATCATATTTCTTATGTCATCATATTTCTTATGTCATCATATTTCTTATGTCATCATATTTCTTATGTCTACCTTCAAGTTGACTGAGGTTCTTTTCATAATTTTCATTTTGTTGGTCTTTTAACGTATGCCTTTTATCGTTTAAAATTGTACCTTCTATGAATTTTTTTGAGTTTTAAGAAAGCCTGAAAATTTTTATTCCTTCTCATTGCACAGTGGGCCAGAATTCACTTTTACTGGACAAAACTAATAACTGGTCATATAAAAAAGATTTAAGAACCACTTTTGCACTGTTTACTATTTATTTGAGGATTGGGGTTTCAATGGTGACATTAGTTTTAATTTTGGTTTGCTATAGATACCTAAATTGCTTAGCAACCACATATTTTATTACCTAAACAAATATAAACTAGAAAAAGTAATAACTTTATTGGATTTTTCCCATAATTACCACATTGAGTATTTTTACACTAAAAATGTAATGACACTATGAATTTTTTATTTGGTTGATAGTGACACCTAAAAGGCCTGGCAATGGTTCATTTTTCATAGTTACTAGCTTAAGTAACTTTTCTTATGGCATCAATTTTCTAACTAGACTAATATTATATGCAGCCATAGAATAAAAGTTTTCATTTAAACTTACAATTGTTAGCTACTTTATAATTTTTTAATTGCTAATTAATAATTTGATGAAATTGAAATAAAAGGAGCTAATTTGTTAGCTCCTTTTAGTTCTTACATGCATAAAATTGTTACATACTTTAAACATTTCGATGGATTAATCCACAAACGAGGTAACAAATGAGATAAAAGTATTTCATATGCTCATATATACACTTACATGGATTTTTATTGTTACTTTTTCATATTTACTTATTTAAAATTATTACTTTAAACAAAATGACGCATTTGTACAATGATGTCTTAGAAGTAAGAAAACCTGTTATTGCAATAGTCAATTTTACAAAAAAGTGGAGTTGTATTGTTTGCAGATTACGCCGTCGATTTATAATGTACAGATACGACCAAGGTGTCATAAAAAGCGTCCCCAAGAATGTTATAGCTATCAGCTCAAATCATCTTAAAAAAACCTTCCAGCATTTAGGTCCATCTAGTAAATTCTTAACACATGATATAAGTGAAGCAATAACACCCAGCATCATACTCATCATATCTTAAAGATATAGATAGGTGACATTAAGTCTTTGCATCTGCTGCATGAGATAAACTTCTTAAAAGTTCTCACTAAAATTCATCTTTCATACCAATGAAATATACAGATGTATATTTTATACTATAAACAGATGACCCTACCCTAGATATTGATTAGTTCAAGGTCTAAAGCCAGTAAGTACATTAATTCAAAAACTTTATAAAAAAATAAGCCATAAAAGCAAAATTAAATTTATTAACACATTTTTGGCAAAAAATAACTTTCCTCACACTCAAGCCCATTTAGTTCTTATCTAACAGTTACTAGTTCATATAATCACTGCTTCAATAAAGATTATGTTTCATTATCAAATGTTGTAGCTGATAATGGAGGATTTGACATATCTTTTATTGCATACAAAAACTTTTAAAACTTTTGATATAATTTGTTGTTTTTATCTTTAGATGAGATAAATTTTTATAAAACTTTGATAAAAAAATAATAAGCAGTTGATTTCCCACAAAAACTTTTATAACTAAAAAAACAACTTGGAAAATTCAAATCTGAACAAATATTTGATTATCTTTGCCTACGGATTTCATTAATTGATTTTTCCATTTCAGAAGATTACTCCAAGAAAAAGATTACTTGAGAAGATCACTTTCATTTTCTGTTACATTTAACTTTTGTTTATTGATACAAAAAGAGTAATTTTTGGTTATTTTGGTCAAATTGCATGACCAGTAATTATAAATTAATAAACAAATATTATGCTAAATAAATTAAATAAAAATCAATTTTTTAAAAATCTATAAGCTTAATGTTTTAGATATTTATCAGACCCAGACCCCTATTTTCATTTAAATTTTTATCAGAATGTCTGATAAATATCTAAATGAAAATATCAGGTAAAAAACTATAATAAAAAGGTTTACTCAAATATAAAAAATTTGACTCAATTAAGGCTAAAACCAGTAATCTAATAGCATTGCTGAAAAATATTTTTTCTCTTTTTAAATCAAGATTTTAAATTTTGTTTGGTAACAGCATAAAAAGCATACATAGTCACATTTGACTTAAGGTCAAAAATAGGTTTAAAATAATTATATAAAACATAATTAGTTACCTCATCAGAAAATCTATAATATAATTAGGAAAATATGTATATATAATTAGGAAAATATGTGTACAAAGAGAACAGAAAGCATATTTAGACAGGTGTGCAAAGAGAGTTATAGACTAGAAATAATAAATCAGAATATTTAT